GATTTACCCTAATGCCAGAGGTCAGTTACCGTGCATTGCCTTGAGTGCATGCAGATTGTATAAGGCTGCATGACTTTATTCTCATGTCTTGTTTACCCCAAGAACTTTGTTCTTAGGAAGACCTATTTTCCAGCACAGCAATCTTGTGTCCTTTGGTCTCAGAGATATGTGGTGTTCTTCTTCCGTAGAACCAGTTCTGGCTGTGAAAACCCCCCTGACAACCGTTGAAGCTGTACCTGGAGGGGATGCCCTGTTTACTGTTGACCTTACGACGACATGTTCCGGCACTTGGTACCTTAATGGTAAAGTCTTACAGGAAAGTGAGACCTACATCATTAAGAGAAGCCAAACTACTCACACCCTAATCATAAAGAACGTCACCAAGAACGATGATGGAGCAGAAGTGAAATTTGTTGCCAATAACGTTGACACCAGCACCAAGATGAGAGTGAAAGGTACTTAGTTTCATTGCTGTTCTGTCTTCTTCCAGTCAAGGGGCAGTTTCTGTGACCTGATGATTAGAACTGGGGCTAGAGGCTTTCTCTGATGCCTGATCTGTAGGAAGTACCTGAAATTGCATCACATGAACTAACCTGGATCCTGGTAATGACCTCTCTGTGATGGCACAGCGTTCAGAGTGAGTCAATCGAGCCAGCTGGTTGGTATCTGAACTAGACTGCTTAACATCAGCTCATGAATTTCTGTAGTTCACAACCATCAGTCAGTGGATTCTAGCGCCAGCTCTACCACTGAGTCACCTTAAGCCAGTAATTTCGGCTCCAGGTTCAGCTGGTCTGTCTGACTGTAGTAGAGTCTTTCAAAAGTAAAGGAGCATTAACTACTAACAAAGTTTTTTTATTTTTTTCCTTGGAAGTTTTTCAGTCTACCACAGATGTGTGTGATGTGCAAGTTAGTAAGTCGATTTAGCATTGAGGGTTGGGTGCCCAACTTTCCTCTATGAGATAATAAGATCTGTATATATCCACATTGCATGGCAAAAGGTAATGAATGGACATTCATTCTGGAAGGATGTGTTTGACTTTGGGTGAAAAATCTCTGCAGAAATATGTGCAGGTTATTATTAAACAGTAGAAAAAATGTGCTTTTTTTTTTTTTTGCAGTGAGTCTGGCAATAAAACCAGATCAAGTCTCCCGAACTGGAAAAAATTGCTTGGTGTTCACATGAGTGTGAGGGCAGGAACAGGACCTAATACTTTTTCAAAGCTCTCTCAGTCTATAGCAGACACATATCAGGGACAAGTTAGCTCGATATAACTTGATACAACAAAGCCTTTGCTCCCCACAGGTGCTGCAGCGAGATTCACCAACAAGAGCAGAGATATAGAAAAGGTCTCTGCTCGGCTGCGGGAGGAAGCCAAACTTCATGCTGAGCTTTCAGACGCGGAGGCTACTGTGAAGTGGATGAAGGGCGGGAAAGAGCTCAAGGCCAGTGAAAAATATGAACATCAAACCGTGGGGAAGAGGCACATCCTGAAAATTCGCAACACTGCAACGGAGGATGCTGGAGTTTATGAGTGCATTTGTGAAGGGGATAAAATGCTCTTCCAGCTTTCAGTGAAAGGTATGTGACTGCCTGGGCTGCTTTGCATTAATGGCCTGCTCCTGCCCTAAACCAAAAGAGTCATCAAGGGACAGAAAGGCAGTGCTCCAGAGGCAGTGCAGGGAGTTCTGGTAACTCCCCATCCACATCTGGCCTTGACAGCGTCTGTGGTCCCAGAGAGAGAACTTGGAACTGATACAAGATCTAACATGGTCTCGGTGGTAAGAGCTGTGCTTGCACTCAAATTGAAGCCTTGATATTCCATGGGAACTTGGTGTTATTTCATGAGGTTGAAAGGCAGGTAGTGAAAAGGTGCTCTTGTGATGAATAAATTCAGCCACAGAGGCAGGACATGATGCACACGATCCCATGTCTGCCCTATACTTTCTATGTGATATCACACAAGTCACTAAGGAGCTAGTTTGGCTCTGATTAAAGTTCTGATGGACCAAGATCATCTTGGCATGGTGGGATTTTTTTTTTTGTTGTTATTTATTTGTTTTTTGTTTTCTGTCAGTACCTTGGTGAATAACAATAGACCTTTCTAGGGCACTTTGAATGACTTGACTCATTGCTATTTGCAAGGTATTTAGACAAAAAGCTGTATAGAATGAACAGCAAAATGGCATTTTCTTTTAATGTTTCCTGCTTGCTAGATTTGAACCAGTACTGCCCCGTTGTTTGGCTCTTATTGCTTTCACAGCAGTCCCTTCCTTACTGATTGCCTGCTACCCAGCTGGTGGGCACATCCACTCCCAGAGCGACACACGGAGTCTTGAACCCTTACCCTGAAACCAACAGCATTAAGCCTCCCTCTTACAAGCCTTCCCATCTGTGCAGGCTTTTATGACCTAGTTCATAGGAGAGTTTCCTCCGCCTTGAATGGAACCAGGTTTTGGCTGAAAAGCCCCAGTCTGTCCCCAGACCATTCTTCATGGGTATCATCTAGATGTCTGCTGAGGTTCTGAGTATACAAGCTGACTCCAGGACAGTCTAGCCTATTGTCAGATATCATCTGGTGTGAGTTCAGTAGATGTTTTTCTTCGAACTGGCAAGTTCACTCTGTAAAGCCATTTGATTTCCTTATTCTTTCCTATAACTTACCCCTCACCTTCTACCCAGCAATGATGGCATAGTTTCTACACTAAGTAAGGATGAGGTGCTTCATCATCATGTTCTGCTGGCTTCTCACCCTCCTTTGTCTCTATGGAAACAACAAAGCCCCGGAGTAATGCGTGTGTTTTGCATTTGACAATGTGTTTGGTTATTCTCAAAAAGTAAACTCGAAAGAGAGCTGAAGAATACAATTCAAAAATATGTGACTATATGTATGGAGGGAGGAATTTCTGTCTATGCTTGGCAGCTGCTCTTAATTTTGGTTTTCTTCTCTCTGTCTCTGCTTCCTTAGCATTATTATTCATGCTAGCAGGTCTATCCGCAAATTTAATAGAATTAGCTCATGGACGTTTTCATGTGCTTTTTTTCTGTAATGTGACTATCAAATGAGAAATTAATGCTCCTATTTTAAAATCGGTGTTGACAAGTTGTAACTTAAACGTCTGCTGTTTGTAGCTTGATTCCTGGAGAATCAGATTTACATCTTATCCTTCTGGGATAAGGCTCACAAATGCTGTCTTGGTATTTTACCTTTCAGCATTGCCAGCTTTTCTCTGTTCCGCCTGTAAGTCAGACACAGCTAGCTGGTGAATCATTTGAGGTGTAGGTCAGTTGGGTCTGGCACATGGGCATCACATGGCTGCCGAGCCATGGCCAGAGGCGTGTCACTTGCTAGGCCTCCTGCCCAAAAAACCCCAGCTAGAAAATGCACTTGCCATTTATCACTGCAATCCCTCCACTGCCATGAGACTTCATGTGCCAGGCGTCCTCCGACACATGACCTCCAGTGTTGAAGCTGGACATCCGAGAAGTCTCTTTCAGACTGCTGTGGTTGTATTTTTCACTCTAGTTTTCTGAGGAAGAGCAAAGTGCATGAATGAACCCATCTCCCTCTTCTTCCACCCAAAACTTTTAACCTGTGGGCTGAGTTCCAGTAATGCTGGTGAAGTAGAGGTCTCAGCAGTTTCTGGTCCCTACAGGCTTCATGGTGTAGGCGGTTGGGTAGAGGAGGACTGCAGTGTTGTCCTACTGAAGGGAAAGCCCCACCATTATAAGTCATTAGAGAAACAAGTGGAAACAGAGACCCCAAGAAAAAACTACGAAAAAGGAGGTTTTCCCTGGTTTAAATGCTGCTGGTATGACTTCTTTACCCATACATCGCATTTCTAATAAGCAGACTTAGTAAACCCTAGAAAACAGGGCTGATATGGACATGGAGAGGTCAAATGCAAGCTCCTGTCGCTGCCAGAAGCTGGTGATTGAATGGGATCCCTTGAGGATCTTAAATGGAGAGGCCCTTGGCTGCACCATCACATCCTTCCCTTCCCTTCCCTTCCCTTCCCTTCCCTTCCCTTCCCTTCCCTTCCCTTGAGGATCTTAAATGGAGAGGCCCTTGGCTGCCCTATCACATCCTTCCCTTCCCTTCCCTTCCCCTCCTTATTTACTTGCTGAGTGTTTCTCAGTCTTAGATTAGGAGATATTTGGGGCCGGGGTTTTCTTTTTCTTTCTTACCTGTGTACTGTTTGTCAAGTCAATTCACTCTTCATTTTTAGATCTCCAGACTTTACCACTGTACAAACTGGTGAATATTGGTTCCCTACGAAATATTTGTCTGTAATTAAAAGCACTACCACGGACTTGGAGAAATCTGATGTACTTAAAAGCAAGGAAAATAAATGCAAAACCCATCCATGTGGGTCGGGTCTTTGAGCTATAGGAGAACCCCTAAGTGTTGCACCAGGAGGTAGCACCGATAATAACACCTTGGGAGTGAGAGTCATGCCTAGCTGGTCCAGACCATGGACTGTAGCTGATTGCTGCAGTATCAGCAATGAAAGCTAGTAACTGCTCTGGCCAGGCATTCTGCAGAGAGATGTTAAATTGTATTGTGCAAAGCATGTTCTTGAAATTAAGGAAAAAATGCATACATAATCAAGGCTTTGATTTTAGTAGCTTTGACTGCACAGTCCCAACAAAGTGACTTGATTGCGTGTGGTGTTTTAAGATAATATATTAAGAAGATGTTTGAAAATTTATTCCATTACCTAGAGGAAAATGGCACTGTGGTTTTAGGCTCATTTTTTTAGCTTGGTGGGGTTTGAATCTTTGCTTTGAGGCAATTGGTGACTCAATTATTCCACTGTGTGTTAACATGGTGCCAGATTTGTTATCTGCCTTCTATGCTCCAGTTAATTTCCAGGGAGAAATTTCTTTTCATGTCAGTCCTATGTGATATCTGTACAGATTTTAAATTCAATATAATTTAATTTATCTGGATTACATTTTCACCTCTTCTAGAGTCTATTTATTTGCCAGGTGATTACACTACAATGATTGAATAACCTTCACTGCTTTCCCTCCTGTTTTCTTGTGTCATATCTTTCCTTGCCTGTCCCAGATATGTTCTTAAAGCCCTGCTGCCTAGGGTTTCCTCTCCCCTTCACTCAGCCTCCTGTGTTGTATATGTGCTCTGATTTTTGGACATGGGATAATCAGTTACAAGGTTTATAAAGGCTGGAAATTTGGCTGCTTCTGCATTAGAATCTAGTAATTAGAGCCATAATTAAACATGCATATTTGGTCTTATGTAAAGGAACACCTAATGTAAATGCAAGTGTTGCATATATTTGCTGATACCCAAACAATTCTTTACCAGCGCTGTGTGTCTATATTTTGTTTCAGCACTTGCAAACTTCATAAACAAAGAGAAAACTGGAGGAGTTATCGAGGCCATCACTGGAAAACAGGCTGAATTTGTTTCTGAGACCTCTGAGGCCAACATCATGGTTAAGTGGTACAAAGATGGCAAAGAAATCACAGCCAGCAAGAAATTCACCATGGAAGATAAAGGAAAACTGCATAAGCTTGTGGCTTCAGCTGTGACGAAAGAAGATGAAGGAACATACACATGCAAAATTGGAGATGACACTCTTATTTTTGATTTAAAAGTCTCAGGTAAGTTTGTGCTGCAAGTACGTGATCAGAGTCTGTGTTAGAAACTCAGCACTTGGTTCATTATACTTGGCCAAGATTGCACAGTACTATTTCAGAGGCTCTTGACCCCTATTGTGATCCCTATGCAAATCCACAACATAGACAAATAATATAATGATGCTGTTATGTGTTCAGTTCAGCACAAGCTTTTGCTAGGGTTGGAGTCATGACTCAAACACCCCCCTGGCTGTAGAGGTTGAGAGCCATGTCTAGCCTTTATTCTTTTAGCTCAGAGATTGCTTAGGCATATCCATCGTCTTTGAACATCCTGACCAAGGTGGTCCTAAATTCTTACTGTGAAAGCCCGGTGTCCTCCTTTACCTCCTGATTTTGAGAGTTCAGCATCTCCTGCTGTTCCCAAAGGACACTGTGATCTCTGAGACATCTCCCTGTGGTACTATGAGTGTGGCCATTAGTTCATGGCACATGCCCATCAGCATAAGGCATGTGCTAAAGCATGTGGCTGTCAGGTGAAGCCCAAAACGGCAATGCTTGTCGCTGATGTGTTCCAGTCCAGGATGGAGCCAGAGTATAAAATGACACAATAATTTATCTGTGAAATTCAATATCTGTGAAATTCAGCTGATTCAATTTGCGTAGCCTGGTGGAAACCTTTCTGCTAAAAGTCATTTTCTGGCTTACGTCTGGAGCCTAATTTTTAACCCAGTCCTAAGTTACAGATTGAAATTCTGCTGAGAACTTCTCATGGGGTGTCTACACACTGCAGTACAATGCAATTTAAGAGAAGTAACACCTGAGTGCTTGTCACCTGTAACAGTACATCCATGTTCCTATGATACTGTCCATCAGCTAACGAAAAACTCATCAGATCTGATTAATCTATCTGATTAATTTGGCTAGATCAGTCTAGCACAGAACTGATCTTGAGGGATTGCTACAGGGTTTACTGAACTAGAGGGATTGTTTCCAGTTTACAACTGGTTTCTGCTCAGGTGTTCATTCTGCATCCTGCCTCCAGTTCTTTTTGTTTGAGAATCCAACATTACGCAATTTCACTTCGAGTGTAATTCATAGTCCCTGACTTTACCCATTGCAAAATGAATCTAAAAGAGCCAACCGGTCTCTGTCCAAACTGATGAATGCAAAGTGAAAGGTATCCCCAAAAGGCAATTTATACCATCTGATTTATACTGTCTGATGAGAGTTATCTAAGATGGATTTTTAAAGTTTTCTGGAGATGCCTTTGTCTGAACTTCAAGTACAGAGGCGGCCTGTATGATTATAGGAGAGTGCATACCTAATTTTTTGATGACCATGTGTAGCTTGGGTGAATCTCACCTGTAACTCATATGACAAAACATCCTATGGCTCAGGCAAAGAAAACTGTTATCTGCTAAATAACTGTGTATCCTCACAAACCTTGTCATGAACAAGGACTGATTAGTAGCCTGTTAACAAAACCTTAGCTAAGGCAACTTCCACCTTGTTTCTCAGGTCACTGTAAAAAGTTTCCAGAGTGCTAAGAAGCGGCACTGCACAGTCAGAGGATGGTCTTAGGGCAGGGAAGTAATCTTCTTTATGGCTATGAGTTACCCCAATAATCCTGAACTGCAGAACTCTGGGGGGACTATCCTTCCTTGGTCATCTGATTTCTTAAAAATAAATCAGTCCTAATGATTAGGATTTATAATGAAACATTTGTTCTTTGATGCCACAGATGTGCCTGGCATGGGTGTAGCATAGCAATTGTCCTTGGGATACTCAGTGACTGAAAGCAACAGTTGCTGCAGGAAGAAATGCAGTACTAAGATAAGGTTGGTTATAACTGACAGCCATCAGCTTGCTCTTCAGGCAAGAGCTGCTCTGATGGAATGAAGGGTATGAAATACCTGACATGCTCATCAAACATTGCTTGTTAGCTTAGGGACAGGGTGTGTTGGGTAGGTTTGCTCACAGTTTATACGTGAAGTGCCTGTCTCCACTTAATTGCCTTCACTTAAACCTTTAGAAATTGCAAAAAAACCTGAATTCATAAAATTGCTGCATTGTTGCTGCATAGGTGACATACACTGTGTGTGTGTGCGCACATGCACAGCTCATGTGTGGCCACTAGTTTCCTCAGTCAGCAGAGTCTGAGCTGAGGTATCAAAGCAGAAACTTCTACCTATGTACCTATGCTATATGTACCTGTAGACCTATACAAGTCATGAGCTGTTGTGAGTTCTCTACTGTGAAGATCGGTTTCAGAAGTAAGGTGTGACATCAATGGCTCATATATTATCTTCTTCCTCTTGAAGTTGGAAAGTATCTTATCAATAAGATTATCCCATACATACACTGATTTGGTCTGGGGAAGAACTAGTCTAGTGGGACTGATCATCATGTGAACATGGGGCTGCAGGAATGGGCTCAGAAGCACGTAAAAGAAGGCTCCTCATCACTTCTCACAAGATTTTGTAAGGCTTCTTGGATCATTTCAAAGGTGTTTGTGGACTCAGGCATCAATATATATTCCCTAGAGTTTGCCTGAAATCAGAAACAAGGAGTAGTGATTAAAGTGTCAGCAACTTGAGGGCATCTCAGCTTGATTTAAAAGATGCAGAAGGACGTAGGAGAGAAGAATTTGATTACGCTGTAACGGAGAGCAATTATCTGAAGATCAGAGGAGGAGTTTACACCATCTGTCAGAAAGCTGGGCATTAACATTCACGTGTGTTGTGAGACAGGAGCTCTGAATTAAAGCACACGACAGGCTTTATGGTCTCAGGATGCTGGGCCAGGTTCTACTCTTGGCTCTGTGCACATAGGCTCTAGTAATAGAAACCACCACGTCTGTGCTCTGAAAGAGCTGTCATGCCTGACTTCTGAAAGGGAGGCAGAAAATGGATGCGTGTCAGTTAGGTGGATTTTGGTTATGAATATAGGTAGGCATAGATCCACATCTATCTAGAACTTAATAAGGCTAGGATTAAAGTCACAGTGTGGACCTAGTAGGCTGGTATAGTATAAAGCGTTCATCAATACCCAGCTCCCAAACTGGAGACCATTATGTACTAACTCTCTGGATGATTTAAAACTTGGACAGTGAGTTCATTGTTAGAAATACCACTGCTGTATTTCAGGAGGGACTTTTCTGACTCATAACCAAAGTTTATTGCTGCAACTGTTAACACTCTGTCATAGTTACATTGCAATGGTACCATGCACACATACGTACATTTACACCTCCAGAGGTGAAACTTGGTCACCCAAGTGTGACTAGCAATTAAAAAATGATCACTAATTACTGTATCTTAACTTTGTGCTGATAAACCTGAAGCGAGGTATAAACTGCTTTCTCTTTTTCTTTTCAGATGAAGCTATTAATTTTGTCAACAAGCCCAAAACAACGCCAGAAATATCAGTCAGTCCTTCTGAAAACCTTGAACTCGTGTGTGAGGTGTCATCTGCTGGTGGAGCTGTGGTGTGGAAGAAGGATCAAACTGAGGTGAAGCAAGACCAGAGGACAACAGTCATCGCCCAGGGGACACACCGCAAGCTTGTCGTCAAGAAGGTGACACAGCAAGACCAAGGGAGCTATACCTGTGAAACGAAGGACGACAAAACAGCATTCCAAGTCAAAGTCAGAGGTGAGAAAATGCTAGAAATGGCAAAGTTATATTCCATTTTGAATAGTAGCTTGCATTTGGAGGATCATTTTGCTACCTCTCTGGGGTGAAATATTTCAGCCGTAGGGCTTGATTTGCAGCCAGCTGTCATACCAACATTTTATACGCGCACTTCTTCATCTGTGACTAGTTGTAACTACAAAAAAAATGATGGGCAAGGATGATAACTTCTGCACCTTTCACGACTGGCTGATGTGTCTGCAGAAAAAATCCTGCAGAATCGTAGCATGAGGCCATAGCAGAGGTGTAGGGATGGATAAAAGGGATGGCAGAGGTGTTTGAAGAGCTCTGATTAGATGGAGAATGACTGAATTTAGTGACCCAAATAGTCAGAAAAAGAGTAATGGCTCCTGGTTATGAGGATACAAGGGCTGTTCCCTTCCAATCCACTGACAGCTTGGAGAGACATAGGAAGAGAGAAAGAGAGAAGAGTGAGGATGGTTCAGGCAGTGCCTGATGGTGCTCTAAGTCCCAGATTCAAATCTGTGCTCAGATTGTGATTTTTTAAACTTTATCCCAGAATTCCCATACACTTATTCACCTCCTATCAGCAAAATGGAGATGAAGGTATTTCCTTGTCTTAATGGGCCATCGTGACACTACCTGTCAGGGGCAAGTGTAGTGAAATAAAGGGAACTTGATTAAGCACTGGAGAAGACAACTGCAAAAAGCTATGTGTGACTATCGTGGCTTTCTCACAGAGGCGGAAGACATGTTTATAAACAAGGACAAGGTCCAGAAAGAGGTAAAAGCTGCACTATCGGAAAATGCCACACTGAGCTGCGAGGTGGCCCAGGAGAAGACCAATGTGAAATGGTACAAGGAGGGGAAACTGATCACCTCAAGCAAGAAGTTCAAGGTGGAGTCGGAGGGCAAATCGCGTCGCCTGGTGGTGGGTCAGGTGGAGAAGAAAGATGCTGGGGAGTACACCTGTGAGGCTGGTGGCCAGAAACTGACCTTCAAGATTATTGTCACAGGTGGGAGATATGTTGCTTCTCGTCATAGAAAGGTCCATGAGTTCGCTTTACTACAGGGTAAAATGAATCACTCTCTAGGCTCCAGGGTCTGTGTTGCCTAGATCTTCATCGAGTAGTGAGGTCGATCAGGCAACCAGCTTGCGTGCATCCACTGACACACAGATGCCTACAGCTAGATATCTTAATCTGTGAGATGAGTCCCAGTCCATGGTCTTTATTGTCTTCTGATTGCCCTGTAATAAAAAAATAGACATGGTTACATAATGCTGTTTTGATTTGTATGGATAAAAGTTGTGGCCAGCTCTCAGGTGTGTAGGAAAATAGGTCTGGAAGAAGTAGGAAAATGGAACTGCTCAAGAAGAATCAAGAATGAGAAAGGCCATTACATTATGGAAGAAAAAGAGAGAGTGATAGTGGTGGAAATGAAAGCAACTTTGGGGCCATGTAAGCTGTCTTGGTCTACCAGTAAAGGAGTCCTTCACCGGCATTCGATGTAATTCAAATATTAACATCCAGCTGACAGTGGAGGCAGTGAACATGAATGGTGAAATCCATCTTTAGTACCACAATCCAAAGGCTGATGTGCACATTTAGAAAAGGTGTGTATGTGAAAGATTAATCTTCTGTCCCTGTACCCTTAATTCCAGAGCCAGAAGATGCTTTTATCAACAAAGAGAAGGTGCAGAAAGAGGTAAAAGCTGCACTAACAGAAAATGCCACACTGAGCTGTGAGGTGTCCCAGGAGAAGACCGATGTGAAATGGTACAAGGAGGGGAAACTGATCACCTCGAGCAAGAAGTTCAAGGTGGAGTCGGAGGGCAAATCGCGTCGCCTGGTGGTGAGTCAGGTGGAGAAGAAAGATGCTGGGGAGTACACCTGTGAGGCTGGTGGCCAGAAACTGACCTTCAAGATTGATGTCACAGGTGAGAGAAAATTTTTCTTCCATTCTTCCTATTTCTGGAATATTTAGAAAAATTAATATTATTTCATAAGTGTTTTTCCTGTTACACTTCAAATTTTTGGAGAACATCACTGAGATGGTGTGGCTCTGATCGAGAAATGGGACGAAGACCAACAAATATAGTTCTCTTTATATCTTCTCTGCAAAACTTTTTATAAAATCTTTAAGATGAGGAGCTCAGTCCTTGAAAACTTTGGAGCTACCTATCTATGTAACCACAGGGCCATGAAGAGGAAAATACTCATTGCACATCTCCATTCCAGCAAGTTGGTACAACCAGAACAATGCTGCAAGGCAGCGGATTCTCAGTGCACTTCAGAGGAGGTTCTTGGTGGAGAGTGTAGGGTGTCTGCCTGATGTCTGTGCTCTTCTTTCTCTTGGTAGAGCTCATTTCATCCTGGGGGTTGACTATGACAGTAAGGCTTGATACATGTTGAGGTCCCTAAGGCATCAGGGAAATGTCCACTAGGGCAAGAAGGTGTCATGGAGACTCATTTCGGATGCATTGCCCTAGTGGGCCATGTTGAGTGGGAGAATGGATTTAGCATTCCAACACCCTCCCTGCCTCCCGATGCTCTTGCAAGTGTGCTGACTAATGCAGGTCTCTCTTTTCAGAGCCAGAAGTTGTGTTTATAAACAAGGACAAGGTCCAGAAGGAGGTGAAAGCTGCACTAACAGAAAATGCCATGCTGAGCTGCGAGGTGGCCCAGGAGAAGACCGATGTGAAATGGTACAAGGAGGGCAAACTGATCACCTCGAGCAAGAAGTTTAAGGTGGAGTCAGAGGGCAAATCGCGTCGCCTGGTGGTGGGTCAGGTGGAGAAGAAAGATGCTGGGGAGTACACCTGTGAGGCTGGTGGCCAGAAACTGACCTTCAAGGTTGTCGTCACAGGTGGGAGACATATTTTGGTTGATATTTCATAGCCTTTTCTTTGTGTCTTGGTGTTTTCTCCTGGTTTCTCTGTGAAAATGTTAGAAGTGCTGTTAAAGTACTTTCCGATGTTGGTCTAAGCTACCATTTGAGTGAGGTTGTGTAGGACCAGGCAGATCTAGAATTTACGTGTGGGTATCCTGGTATCAGCTCCTCAACTCCCTGTACATCTCCTTAGGCTCAGAAAGTGAATCAAAAGTTTTTCTTAGCAGGCACTGTGTTAAAGGACCTCTTCCAATTTGGTCACCGGTATTGGTATTCCTTCTCCTCCCATTGCAGTTCTTCAATGGAAATCACTGTTTTCTTCCCTCTTTGTTTCATCTTTTCTCTACACAATGTCCTCCCTCCCAAAACAGAGAATTGCTTCAATTATCCACTGTTTGGCTGTGCGACCACGTACATGAGCACAGCCTCATAACTGTGCACCATGATACTTTGGTGGATGATGAACAGGAATGGATACAGATATGTGCAACTTGCATTATGATTTGTATTTATCAGCCTTTCACCCACCTCTTCCCTTACAACTTTCTTCACCTGTCATTGGATACCCAACTGTGATTTGTAAAGCTACGAGAAATGGTGCAATACTTGTCTACCATTCTGTGTTTAAACAGTAGCCTTTACAAGATCCTTATTTTACTGTGGCTGCATTGAGAATGTTTGGGCGTTGATGGTAGTGTACTGTTCTAAAAATTTTCTGTCAGCTGCACAGATCTGCAGTCTCTTGGATCCAAATATGACAACTCTTTATTGTGATTTCTACATCTATAATGAACAGTCATACAGCCAGGAATGTTTATTTATATTTGCATTTTTCTCCTTAGCAACATAATCTGGAGTCTGAGGATTTGACACTGAGGCTGTTCTATTACTCTGACTACACTAGAGATTTCTTTGGTCTCAACATATTTTGCAAGAGGTCCAGTAAATTTTATCTCAGGCTCCAGGCAGCCACAGACATGTCAGCTACATTCTGAGTGACCATTTCTAAATTGGATGATAAGAAAGGGTTGGGTTTGGTTTTGTTCATATTCGTAACGCTCTGCTGTCCTTGCAGCCACATGCCTCTCTGTTAACGCCACACTTGTCTCATCTTCTGAGCTGATCAGAACAGAGAATCTATTTACTTCTCTGCTTTCTTATGGCATCAAACACACTGGGACCGTAATGCTGGCAGAGGTCCGGCGTTTTATCAGCTGTGTAGAAGAGAAACTGCGTTGGGAGTCTGTTGACTTTGCTGCTCGCAGCTGTGTTGGAGACCTGAAGTCCTTCAGGCCATAGCTCGCATGCTGTTCCCTTGTAAAGGTTGCAGACTTTACTGGTCTGCTGTCTTGGGGCGTCCCTCTCCCTCCATCTGTGTGCAATGTGCAACTGCTGCTACAGCACAAAGCTTTGCTGCTCCCCATGGCATGTATTGTGAGCCATCAGCTGTCACGTGTCCCCATGCTGTGTGGGGTACGCGGGGTGTGAGTTGGGGCACTTTGGCTCTTTTTCATGAATTGTGCATCTCATGCTTTTGGGGAATTGCCAGGTTCAGTGGAGGATGGATTACAGTAAGGCCAGATTTGAGAGGGAAATGCAACATGGACATTGATAGGAAGACTGTCAGTATAAACCAAGGTCATGCTCAGCTGCTGAAACCATTTCATACATTACTGCAGAAGTGTAGTCAGATAAAATGGAAATGTAGTGCTTTTACAGTTGAATTTCTCTAGCTGAGGGCTATTTTTAGCTGTCTGCCTCAGAAACCAAAGATTTTCATTTCTCTTTCAAACTGGATGACTTCATAGCTGCACAGGGTAATGTAACACCTTTCCCCCTCTGTTGTAAGTGGAGAGTGCTTGCCTAGCTACCGTTGCTGTATTTCTCTTGTGTATAACTGTAACATGACATGCAAGTCCAGCACTCACTGGAAAATGATCTAGTGTGAAAGTCAGGAGGGATTATGAGTACTATGAGTGGTTGGCTCTTTTGCTGCACAAATTGCTAGATTATCCCAAAGTACAGTGGCTTTCTGGGTCTTAATTTGTTCTGTTACCATTGTACTCAGGAAGTTTTTTAGGGTTCCTGTACCCCAGGGCTTCACTGGTAGCACAAAACCTTCCCTGCTTAAGGACAGCTTGAAGGTTAGATGCCCAGTATTGAGTATTGGGATGCAGCTATAGCTTTTTGGTTTAACATAAAAGGAAGCAGGTGCTGCACGCCTTGGGACTGGGCTAGACATGTAGCCAAAAGAGCTGATTCTGAAATCTCATTATTTCAAGATCCATGGAATGCAGTGAAATCGCTGACAAAAGCTCCATGTCCTGAGTTACCTCAGTTTCAGTGGAACTTCACTAACCAGTTTCAGCTGAGGTTGGAAATGTCATCTGCACTGAGTACTTGTTTAACTTCAAAATAAGTTTCTAAGGCAAATCACTGGCTAGTGTAAATCACTCTGTAAGATGATTAAAAGTTTTAGTCACATTTCCTGTCTCTATAAAAATAGTTTATATTAAAAGGAAAGAATGCAGAGGACAAGTGAGTAACCAGTCTGGAATATTCCGTGCCCTCCTGACTTGAAATTTTAAATGCAGCACCCATTGACACAGACTGGTTTGTAACTCATATGTTTAGCGCACCCTGCGTATTCACAGTCCAAGTTGTAGATGGACATTGGGATGTTTATATTTTGCAACCAGTTTTGAATGCAAACCATGGTGTGTGCTCAAGCTCTTTTAGATATCAAAATGCTGCTTAATCTGCAGTGGGCTGACGTCTGCCTTGGAGGAGTTTTGCATCACCCAGCGTAGGCCATGTACACTGCCTTATTAATGGCACCTTAATGACAACAACATCTCCTTACACCTTTTCTACAGCCAATATAGACAGAAGACCTCAAATTTAGAGCATAGAAGCTGGATTCCTGCTTCAGCTTGCTTCCTGCGGGACCTCTCTCTTGCCGTTGACTGTGCAATATTGATGGCAAGCCTATGATGTGGCTCCCAGGACTGCACATGGGTGCCACGGTCAGCAATGTAGGAACTTGACCTGAACTTACCCCTGCCCCTTACACTCCCAGGCAGCTGCTACCATGCAGAGTACAGACGTGACGGAGACGGTATGCAGAGGAGAAAGTCATCAAGGAGGAGCAAAGGATGGCAGTAGGAGGCTGCAGACAGTGACTGGGGGGAGGAAGGCAGAAGCACAGGTTATGGAAGGCGTTCACCATGACTGCCAGGGAGAACCAAGAGCCTCCCAGGTCACCTTAACCAGGGAGCACGGATGCCTGAGGCTGGGTGGATGATTTATCTTCCATGCTTGCCCAGCAACGGCAACCCCATATACTTGCTAGTCTAGCATTTATCTTTGGAGCTTGTGCTTCTGTAGCAGGGAAATCATGGACTTCAGAGCTCAAGTACATACAAGGGACCCCAACAGGCAAAGGCAGCCTATTGTAAATGCTGGGCAGTTGTTGCTATGTGATATCCATCATGTAGGCATACCAGAAACATTTTACCCTTCCTGTGCACTTACTTATTAAGGTAAATCAGTGGAAGAAAAGTGGGAACCCATGTATTTAGGGCCTATTTGTCCTCCCACATCTCAAATGTGCACTAGTATAAACGCTAACACTGACCATGCCAGTTGTTGGTAAAAGGAGAACCAGGTAAAATAGTCACTGAAGTAATCAGTAACAGATGCAATCTATCAGTCAGTCCTACTTAGCAAGGTGAATCATTGAATTTTTTCAATGCATATAGCTAACTAACTACTAATTGCAGACAGTATCCTTTTGATGCCAAATCCACTTGCTGAGATGGAACTTCTAAGTGGTATGCTGGAAGAAAGTGACTTTAAATACTTAGTTCTCATTGCTTGTGTTAAGTATTGAGAGAAGATTCCATATGGCCAGTTTTCTGAAACATTAGAGATTTCTGAGGAAAAAAGTATACTTCAAATTTTATAGGCCAGTTTATGTACAATGTAGGCCAAGTACATTTCTGTATTAAAAACAGTATCTTTGTCATTTCTTTGGGATTGAGTTACAAGATATTTTCTGAACAATGCCCATTCTTACTCTAAAACACTGAAATGCTAGTGAATTCCTGTAAATAATGTGATAATGAAGGTGGCAACTCGTAAGTGTGCTATATTTGGCTAGTTCTAAATGTGGAGGGTAGAAACATCATAAAAACACAAAGGGGGAAAATTTTCTTTGTTTTCATTATAAGAAATTTGAAAATGAGGCAGTTGAGCTGTTCAAGAAGACTAGTCAGAGAGGTATGATAATTATATGGACTATGTTTTGAGTAAGCATTGTCCTATGTGATAAAAAGAACTGCAACGCAATGTTGCTTACAAGAAATGGTCCTGTAGAGCACCTACACAAAACAGATGTAAAATCTTCCCCTTGGAAGCTGTTTATATCTTACATATTTTTTCCCTAATGTTTCCCTGTTTCAGAGCCAGAAGTTGTGTTTACAAACAAGGACAAGGTCCAGAAAGAGGTAAAAGCTGCACTATCAGAAAACGCCACGCTGAGCTGCGAGGTGGCCCAGGAGAAGACCGATGTGAAATGGTACAAGGAGGGCAAACTGATCACCTCAAGCAAGAAGTTCAAGGTGGAGTCGGAGGGCAAATCGCGTCGCCTGGTGGTGGGTCAGGTGGAGAAGAAAGATGCTGGGGAGTACACCTGTGAGGCTGGTGGCCAGAAACTGACCTTCAAGATTATTGTCACAGGTGGGAGATAAGTTGCTTCTCATCACAGAAAGGTCCATGACTTCCCTTTACTACACAGAAAATCGAATCACTCTCTAGTCTCCAGGGTCTATGTTGCCTAGATCTTCGTTGAGTAGTGAGGTCGATCAGGCAACCAGCTTGTGCGCATCCACTGTCACACAGATGCCTAACAGCTAGATATCTTAATCTGTGAGATGAGTCCCAGTCCATGGTCTTTGTTGTCTTCTGGTTGCCCTGTAAAGGAAAAATAGACATGGTTACATATGCTGTTGTGATTTATATGGATATAGGTTGTGGCCAGCTCTCAGATGTGTAGGAAAATAAGTTTGGCATTATACTCAAGAAGCATCTAGAGTAGGCATGCCTTACGTTGGAGTCCCAGTGGCAAGAAGAGATTAGGTGCTTATATGTGCATTACATTAAGGAATAAAAAGTCAGATTTATTGTTGATCCATGGGGATGGGAAGAATCTTAACTCCTAGGGCATTGGTTCAATTTGCTCAGAAATGGCTGATGTGTTGTCGTCAGGCTGTACAGAGGGCAATGTCCTGTCTGAGTGTATCTTAGCTGGAAGTGGGACCACTCCAAAATGACGGAGTTGTGGAAAGGTCTTGTAAGCAGGATTTTGCATTTAGTTGTGAACATTTTGGACAGCGTGAACATGCATGTGATTTTTAGATTTCTTCTCCCACCCTACAGAAGCAGAAGATGCATTTATCAACAAGGACAAGGTCCAAAAAGAAGTGAAAGCTGCACTAACAGAAAATGCCATGCTGAGATGTGAGGTGGCCCAGGAGAAGACCGATGTGAAATGGTACAAGGAGGGCAAACTGATCACCTCAAGCAAGAAGTTCAAGGTGGAGTCGGAGGGCAAATCACGTCGCCTGGTGGTGGGTCAGGTGGAGAAGAAAGATGCTGGGGAGTACACCTGCGAGGCTGCTGGCCAGAAACTGACCTTCAAGATTGTCATCACAGGTGAGGGATTATGTGATTTCATTTTTTTTTTTGCTGTAGCTATAAGGAAAGTTTCCTAGTGACATAGATTTTCTTCCAGCCTTGTTCTATGTGGGTCTGTATTGGAACTTAACTGGTTATTCTTAAAGGTCAGTGTCAAGGATGTGTTTGGATGCTTTGGGCAAGAAAAAAGTCTACTTAGACCAGTACTGTTTCCCTGATTTCCACCAGGAATGGTCATTAAGAAAAAGAATGTAAGAACAAGACAAGCATACAACAATCCTTCCACTCTTTCAGAGCCTCTAGTTTCCACTCTGAGAATCTGTAGTTTTTATCTCTGCTGTGGTAGAGTTTCTTTATGCCACATTTTTACAAAAGATGACTTTACTGAAAGAATTTGCCAGTATGACTTCATGAGGGATTGCACAACATTTATGATTTCTAGTGTGACTTCAGATTGGTATCCAGTAGCTTGTGTGTGCTGGTGAGTCATCATTGCATACATTTTTGTACTTGCTGCTAGTTATTTTTGTGGAAAATATTACCCGGTACTTCCTTCCTCATCTTCCTTGCTTCTGTCTTGCTTGAAAGGGTTATGAGGATAGAATAGCTAAACTTGATGTAGATGTTTCTTTCCTGATTGTGGACCAGAAGAAAATCTTAAAGATGCAGCCAATTAAAATCACATTGCAGGAAGTGATGTGGGACAACACAACTGAATTTGGAGCAAAGATTTGCCATTTCTTTCTTTCAATGGATTCAGCCAATGCTGAATTCTAACCATGTCTGTTTAGAATTGTGTGCATCTACACAGCCTGGTGCACCAGTCACACATCTGAGCTTTTTGTTTCAGACCTAGCTATGACTGTGGTTAAGTATCTTCAACGCTGGAGGTGATTTGTGGCTGGGCTGCTCCCAGTGTGACTTGAGTAAAAGCATAACATTACGGCATTGAGACTCAAGTGACTGTCCGTTGTGGGTCTTGCTGAGGTACAAGCTTATGTGGTTTCATTCTGCTTGCTCTGCCATGTCTGCATTCTGTGGTATGTATCACCAGGAGTGACCCTACAAGGAAAATGGAGGAAAATCTACCTCGCTCTCCTTTGTGTTTGGCAACTCCCTTTTGTACCAGAAGAACTACGGTAGAACTTCTTTCGTAACTCAGTTATGTGACTTTTTTCTGTAGGTCTATGCAGGTTGTAGGAAAAGTACAGGGCAAGACTGAGATCATTGCTTTATTTCAAACAACAAATGCCTTTGATAGCAGAAGTTTTTGGAAAAATTGTAGCAGATTATAAGTGAAACTGTGAAGGACAGAAATGAGCAAAGGATCTTATCCCACTGTTTGAAGGAAGAGCTCTTCTTAGCTTCTTGTGGAAGGAACTTCTCGTCTGGGACCAAGAGATCTTTGTCCTCTTCCGGATGCCACAAGGCATTGAAGTGCTCTCAGCAGTTACTTGTGCTTGCTACCGAGAAAGTGAGGATAGATGTTGACAAAAATAATGGTGGGTTGCATGAGACTTTTGGATGAAAACTCAAAGACTGTCTTGCTTTTATGGCTTCTGAAAAACAGTCGTGTTCAAGGGAGGAAATCCTGTGGCTTGGACACTGGGGATTCACTTTTTCTGGGAAATGGCACCGTCCTCTGCAGGTCGATGTGTGTGGGGACCTTACTATCACCAACCTTCTCTGCATCTCACATCCTCTCTGCAAGCAAGGAAAAGAAGAGTGTCCTACCTCATGGAAGCATTTTTCATATCACAGGTTTTGATGTACTTGGGCACCATGGAAAGGGGGACAGGCATTTTGTCTGCAAGATATAGCTGAGTGTTGCCTGAGGCCATTGCTGCCAAAAAGAGGTCATTACTCAGATTTTGCAAATGGGTAAATACAACAAAGGAGAGCAGAGAAGAATAGGCTCCCTCTAGCCACTGAGAGATTTACTGGTCACTTTAAAGGCAGAAATGGTCGGACCCATTTGGGTTGTCATTCAAGACTGAGGAGGAAGTATGCTGTAGATCCAGAACTGGAAAATGGATCTTCTGACCCTCTGTGCTTTAACCCTAGATCACCCTTTATTTTCACCTTGCTGTTCATTAAAGATGCAACTGAGCAAGAGTACCAACTAGATTTTGTGTAAGAAGTATCATTCCCTTGAGGGAAATTCAAACAACTGCAAACTCTCACTGAAGAGAGTTGCCCAGTATGGAACATAACATGGAAGCTTAGGAGTCCCTCACTCAGTTACCCACCTTGTGTAACCTCCATCGCTTTGGACTGAAGGGCAAAACATCTGCCTAGCGTGAGGGTGAGAGGCACAATGAACAAATTATACTGCAGGAGAACACTTTCTACAAGAACTGGCTTGTTTTCTTCAGAAATGTGGTACGAAGAGCTCTGAAACACAAAACCCACACTCTTTGTATCATGTCTCCACTTCTTCCCTTGCCTACATATATTTCTGGTGCTAGAGTATCCCATGCTAGGTGTCTTACCCTCCTTCATGAGCTTGGATCCAGCCTTACTTTTGGCAAATCATAGAATCATGGAATGGCTTGGATTGGAAGGGACCTTAGAGATCATCCAGTTCCACCCCCCCTGTCATGAGCAGGGACACCTTCCATTAGACCAGGGTGCTGAGAGCTCCGTCCAACCTGGCCTTGAACACTGCCAGGGAGGGGGCAGCCACAGCTTCTCTGGGCAACCTGTTCCAGTGCCTCACCACCCTCACAGTAAAGAATTTCTTTCTTATTTCTAATCTAAATCTACCCTCTATCAGCTTGAAGCCATTACCTCTTGTCCTATCACTCCACGCCCTTGTCAAAAGTCCCTCTCCAGCTTTCTTGTAGGCCCCTTCAGGTACTGGAAGGCTGCTCTAAGGTCTCCGTGGAGCCTTCTCTTCTCCAGGCTGAAAAGCCCCAACTCTGTCAGCCTTTCCTCATAGGAGAGGTGTTCCAGTTTTGCTTTATTACTACAGTTCCTGATCCCAGAGAGATGGATTTCCAGCAGACTTGTCCTTTTCCCTATTCCTTATTTGTGCTTTGCCTTTTGAAGGATAGTAAAGGGCATTTACGTATTTTTTAGCTGGCCTTGCTGATCTTTTCCTTCCTGCTTTTGCAGTGGGAAAGATGTAGATTCTGAACACTTTCATGTGAAGATACCAGGTCTCACATTCAGTCTTGAATAAATTGTCCACCTTTTCTTCTTTAATCAGTTGTCATAATTCATACAAGTTTACTTGTTTCAAATAAGTGTATTACAGAGATATTTTTCTTATTGCTCTATTTACTTTAGACTAGACCATCTCGTGATCCCTATATCCAAGGTTATTTCCCATGCCCAGGTTCTAAATTGTTGTTCTTGGAATTTACCAAAACCAAGCCTAAAACCAAATTATTGTTCTTATTTCAATGTCCACCTAATTGTAGAATTTGACAGCTATTACATCTGGATATCCAAGATGATACGGACACAGCTCCAGCGCAGGCAATCAGGATGGTTAGGGGGCTGGAGCACGTCATATTTGTGCACATTGGAGAACAGAAGGCAAAAGCGAGCTTTTATTGCAGCCTGCAACTATATAATGGGAGGATATAGAGTCCATAGCTCAGGTTTCTGCTCAAAGATGCATGGTTGTAGGAGAAGAGGTATGAAAGTTGGAACATGGGAGGTTCTGAAAAGATATCAGGAACAACTTGCACCATGGGGGTCAAGCTCTGGAACAGGAGCCTTGAGGTTATGGCATCTCTATTGCTGGAGATATTCAGAACTCAATGGGAAATGGCCCTGCGTAACTCAATGTAATTTTATCTGCTGTGAGTGGGAAAGTGGGACTGGATGACCTCCAGAGAGCACTCCTAACCTAAACTATGTTATGACTGTGATTTTGTACTATTAGTAGCACATGTTCTGTAGAATATATCTGGGAAGTGAAACTATTCCATAAGGAAACAACTCCTTATAAATCTTTGTGACGATACTCCAGCTGGTATACATGTATTTCAGAATTCTTCTTGTTTTTTTCCTGAAAATTACTTGAACTCAAATATGGGGACAGTGCTGGCAAATGAAGGGTCCTGCCTGGAAGATGTCCTGTTTATTGTGAATATGCAGCCCAGTCTTTTCTGCAAGTGAATGGAACATGCCCTGCTTTCCCAAGAGAGCCCATCTTGCTTGGCCTGCAGAGAGTGATCATACAGTTTGTGTGTAGGAAGGCTGGTGTAACACAAAGGATCAGGTATGGCAGTTGTTCTTGCTGCCCAAATGAGCAGCAGCCAGAAACTGTGCTGTCTGGCAGCAAGATGTTCCTGCCAGTGCTTCCTCAAGCAGTTGCTTAACTCTATTAGCTTTTTTAATTTTACAGCTGCTTTACTTGAACCTTAATCTACCAGGTGGCCTCCCATTGAAAACCCAGTACCGTATGATCTTGGAGGCAAAGCTTTCATCTTCACGGTCTTTTTTCTAGATTTTTTCTTCTTTCAAATCTTGCAGATGATGTGTTTGAACACAAAGACAAAGTGCAAAAGGAGGTGAAGGCAGCACTGAAGGAGAATGCGATGCTGAGCTGCGAGGTGGCCCAGGAGAAGACCGATGTGAAATGGTACAAGGAGGGCAAACTGATCACCTCAAGCAAGAAGTTCAAGGTGGAGTCGGAGGGCAAATCGCGTCGCCTGGTGGTGGGTCAGGTGGAGAAGAAAGATGCTGGGGAGTACACCTGCGAGGCTGCTGGCCAGAAACTGACCTTCAAGATTGACGTCATGGGTGAGTGAATTTATTGCATCTCCAAATTACATCCTGAAAAAAATTAAAGAAGTTACGTGGCTTGGCAAATTCCATCTCAGCAGGCAGTCATGGAGCCCGTATTTAAATTCTGCTGTTTTACTCATGTGTTTGTGTTCAAACTATTAGATCTGTCTCTCTTCTGTGAAAACAAAGAATGCAGTGGCTTTCTATAGCCCAGGCCCAGGGCAGGTTGAAGATCATCAGGGAATTTCCCTGGAAATCTGATGGAGATGCACTGATACCAAAACGAGAATTCAACAGTTGCAGGAGAAATTAAAGAACACAGAATATCTTCTGAGCACAAGCATTCTCTTGCATGTGCTCCTTCCCTGAATGAAGTGTCTCTTTACTATGGAGGAAACCTTTTTATTATTGCCTATGTGAGTTGAAAGGAAATACTTCTCAGAAGCAGCAGCTGAGGAAACCAGGTCTTTTCACCATGATATTAGCAAGGACAGGTTTTAACCTTGATATCCCTCCATTAGATCTTGATGAATTTAAAGCAAATTGAGGAGCTGATATATTAGATAGCTTTTTGATTCTGGCATGGGGCAGTGCAAAGCAAATACCATGAGGACTGGCCAATTTTCATTCATTAGAGACTCATAGTTCTTGGATGCCACGTCTTTAGAACATTTGGGTAAAAAAGATATAGACACAGACTAGGCTCACAAAGTTTGTTTCCCTAAACTAGCTTTGCTTTTACTGGCAAAGCAAATTGCAGATCTTGGGTTGTTTGGATGATTTAATGTTTGTTGTCCTACAGAAAAAAGACATCTTGCAGACTGCATGCATTGGTGTGCTGCAGGACACTGGGATATGCAAACTTCTTGTCTGCGGATTTTAGAGAGTGATAGTGGTGGAAATGAAAGCAACTTTGGGGCCATGTAAGCTGTCTTGGTCTACCAGTAAAGGAGTCCTTCACCGGCATTCGATGTAATTCAAATATTAACATCCAGCTGACAGTGGAGGCAGTGAACATGAATGGTGAAATCCATCTTTAGTACCACAATCCAAAGGCTGATGTGCACATTTAGAAAAGGTGTGTATGTGAAAGATTAATCTTCTGTCCCTGTACCCTTAATTCCAGAGCCAGAAGATGCTTTTATCAACAAAGAGAAGGTGCAGAAAGAGGTAAAAGCTGCACTAACAGAAAATGCCACACTGAGCTGTGAGGTGTCCCAGGAGAAGACCGATGTGAAATGGTACAAGGAGGGGAAACTGATCACCTCGAGCAAGAAGTTCAAGGTGGAGTCGGAGGGCAAATCGCGTCGCCTGGTGGTGAGTCAGGTGGAGAAGAAAGATGCTGGGGAGTACACCTGTGAGGCTGGTGGCCAGAAACTGACCTTCAAGATTGATGTCACAGGTGAGAGAAAATTTTTCTCCCATTCTTCCTATTTCTGGTATATTTAAAAAAATGAAATTTATTTCATAAGAATTTTTCCTGTTATGCTTCAAATTTTTGGAGAACATCACTGAGATGGTGTGGCTCTGATCGAGAAATGGGACGAAGATCTACAAATATAGTTCTCTTTATATCTTCTCTGCAAAACTTTTTATAAAATCTTTAAGATGAGGAGCTCAGTCCTTGAAAACTTTGGAGCTACCTATCTATGTAACCACAGGGCCATGAAGAGGAAAATACTCATTGCACATCTCCATTCCAGCAAGTTGGTACAACCAGAACAACGCTGCAAGGCAGTGGATTCTCAGTGCACTTCAGAGGAGGTTCTTGGTGGAGAGTGTAGGGTGTCTGCCTGATGTCTGTGCTCTTCTTTCTCTTGGTAGAGCTCATTTCATCCTGGGGGTTGAATATGACAGTAAGGCTTGATACATGTTGAGGTCTCTAACGCATCAGGGAAATGTCAACTAGAGAAAGAAGGTGTCATGGAGACTCATTTGAGATGCATCGCCCTAGTGGGGCTGTGGAGTGGGAGAACGGATTTAGCATTCCAACACCCTCCCTGCCTCCTGATGCTCTTGGAAGTCGGCTCACTAATCTGTAGGCTGGAGAATAAGGGGATTTCACCATTTGGATGTAAGAATGTGAGATGGGCTGGGCTATTCTCAAGGTTGCATGGGAGGTAAGAACACAGGCCAGAACAAGTAAGTCCTGGTCTTAGCACTCTTTGCACTGAAGAAAGTTATCTAGGGCCAACAGGACAGTAGTGGCAGCAGACACAGGTATTAGGAACAAAAGCAATCAACAATATGGGGCTGTGACACTGTAAGGGACAGTTCCTCCCAGC